CCCAGGGAGAGAGACGAGGCTTCTTGCTCCCGTCAAGACTGCCAGCTTGGGGAGCCCACAGGGGCAATTCCACTTCATCTCACAGGTCGCTATGGGCCGGGGTCCACTGGACAGCAGTGCATTCCTCGCCTTTGTGTTCAGCACGGCAGAGGTCCTTCTCCGCTTACTGGGGTCCTTCCTGCCCCTTGTCCATATGGGAAGCCTTCCTTTGGGGGCTTAGGATCCACAGGAGATGGGTGAGGTTCACTGGCAGGCCCTCACTGGCCGTGTGTGAGGGCCGAGTTCAGTTCCCGGTGGGTTCCAGCCCTGCCCACTTCGATTTTACTCCTCCTCCTCCCCCGCCGCCGCCGCTCCGACCACGCGTTAGATCCCAGGGAGAGGAAGTCGGGAGGGAGGGTTTTTAAGGTTAAGCCTTCAGTCACCGCGCGTGTCCCAAAGCTGAACTTCCAGGATTCCAGACCAAGACTCAAAAGACTTGCCAATCAACGTCCCCAAACTGAAGGGAAAGAGACCCACAGGTCACCACGTGCTGCTGTGACCCAGGAGGGATGGTGGGGTGTCGGGGAGCAGGCAGCCTCCTACTCCCCATCCTGCGTGGGGGCCCATCGGAACGCCCGCCCGCGGGGACTCACCGACTTGAGGGCTGGTCCCAAGAACTGACACCTTCCCCAGCCGGAGCCTGGGGAGGCAGCAGCTCCTCAGAGGAAAACTACGCCCCTTCAGCTGAGGCTCAGAGAGCCACCGGGCCATCCAGGTGGAAACTTTGGGAGGCGGTGCAGAAAGGTCAGGCTGTCCTTTGCCCAAGTGCTCGCAGGTTTGCCCCAGAAGAGTTTGTTTTTAATGTTTTTTGTAAACCAGGTGAACTCATCTGTAACCAGGTGAAAAGCAAAAAGGCAGATGCCTCCTCCCCAAGTGTCCCCCCGTCCCCCCTGGAGCTCAGCTGCGGGGGTGGCGGCTCACTCCCCGTGGGTCTCCCTCTTCTGCTATGAATCACACGTTTGGATCTATCGTGCCGGGACGTTTCCGGGACTCGATTTTTCTTTTTTCGTACGTTTGATTTGAATTCGCATATTGCTTACAGACTTCAAGTCTGTTGCAGTTGTACTTCTGCTCCCACCATTACCTGGATCCCAGAGGGAAGGCACCTGCAGGGTTTTTAAGGCTCTGAGCCACCACTCTTTAAAAAAAAAAAAAAAAATTTATTAACCTTTTTTTTTCCTTCACGTCCTCCCTCCCTGGCCCCGTATGTTGGTTTTTAAGCAAGTGTGTTCTATGCACAGCCCAGAATTTCAACCAATGAAATCAGGACCAATCCCCTGTCAGCCCCCCCCATGTGGTTCCCTCCCTCTGCCCCCCTCTCCACAATGCCCTATCCCACCCACCTCTCTCCCTGCCCCTGGCCCCGCCTGCGGCCTCCCTCCACGTTGCCTTCAATATCTCCTCTTTTGGCGTGAAGACCACTCTTCTTGTTCTTGGTTTTACCTAAAAATAATGGTGTCGTTAAATACGGAGCTTTATGAGATGGACTGACCCTGCTAGGCACCCCGTTTCTTAGGGAGGCAGTCTATTGCGTGGGTGGGGGGGACAACAGTGCTGGCTGTGTGTGTGTGTGTGTAGGCATGTGTGGGTGACCAGGCGTCTGCTCTGCGTCCCTTGATGCTGCCTGTTGCTCTTAGGTGCCGTGAGTCCGTTCAGACTCCTGGTGACCCCAGAAGGACACCGCCCAGCCTGGGCCCTCCTCATAGCCGTCTCAGCATTGAGCCCACGGGTGCAGGTGCTGTGGCCGTCCCTCTGTCCCTTCTCTGCCGAACACGTGGTCCTCTCCTGACCCCGTGGTCGTCTCAGATGTCTCTTGGGCAGTGTGGCGGTTTGGATGCCCCTCCGGTCACAGTCTGGCCCACCCTGTCTTGAACTGTCCTGCCTTTTCCTTACGGTGTGCAGGAGCTCCTTGCATGGCGTGGGTGCCACCCCTGCGTCGTCACAACGATGGCGAATGTGTTCTCCCCAGCTGTGGTGGGCCTTGTCTTTCCCGGGGTACACGCTGGGCTGTGCACTGCTCTGCGACAGGGAGCCTTTAGCCTTTCACAGCGGCAGTTCTACTCCCCGTTACAGGTTTGCTGCCCATTGAAATTGGCTCCAGGTCAGTGAGGTTTTTGTTTCTTTGCAGTGGTGTCACGTTTCTTACCAAGACCAAACTCACTGCCATCGAGTGCAAAGGGTGGGCAAGGGCAGCATGGCCCTCCTGGGTTTCTGAGACGGTAACTCTTCATGAGAGTGAAAAAAAAAAAAGCCTCATCTTTCTCCCTTGGAGCAGCTGGTGGGTCTGAACTGCTGACCTTGTGGTGAGCAGACCAACACGTAACCACTTCGCTAGCAGGGCTTCTACCCTTGGCTTCCAACAAAACCGCACACCATCGGGTCCATTTGGCCTCGTGGTGACCCTTAAGGATGGAGTAGAGCTGCCGGTGGGATTCCGAGACAAACTCTTGGTGGGAGCTGGAAGACTCCGCGTTCTTTCCTGGAGCAGCTGGTGGTCTCAAACCGCTGACCTTGAGGTTAGCAGCCTAGTGTGTAAGCAGAAAGCCACCAGGCTCCCCCCTGAGCTTCCTCATTCACGCACGCACCGCTCCTGTGTGCTTCCGAGCATAACTACGCAGGGAGCAGAAAGTCCCATCGTTCTGCCGCGGTGTGGCTGATGGCTCCGAACTACTGGTGGTTTTGAACCGGTCACCTTACCACGCTTCGCAGTCTAGCAATCCAGCGCTTAACCCACAATGCTACCAGGGCTCCCTTAGCTTCGGCAGGAGGCAATCTCCCTCCCTGGAAATCAATGAGCGTTTGAAGGTCACTTTGTCAGCGGAGCCTGTCAGCTGCTGTCATAGTAACGCCCCGTCACAGGTGAGGTCCCTGGGCTGCGTTTCTGGGCGATAAACCCCGATTCGGTCTTGCCGATGGACCTTAATGGCCTCAGCGGTTGCTTTGTGAGGTCGAAGCGTTTTACAGCCTGTTCTTGAAAACCGCTTTGTTCCGTGTTTGCTTCTGAGAGGGTCTCTTTCTGAGGCTAGAAGGAAGTTCCCCTTGAGTTATAGGCACCCGGGCCATGGAGAGTTTTCCGCGTTGTGGACCCTCTGGCTGCTGTGAGCACGACCAGCCTCCCTCCTGGGCAGCCGGGGGAGGCAGAGATCTTCAGGCCAGAGGTGGGCCTCAGGAGGGGACCCCTGGCTGCTCACTCGGCCCTGACCCTCCAGGATCCTGACCTTGGTGGAGACCCTGGCCTTAAGAGGTTGATGAAGGTCCGAATTCTGATGCATACCATCAGGGCAACTCCTGTTGTTGGTTTACAGTTTGATTGACACATAATCCACGTATCTTACAATCCAATCGCTCAAGTTTATCGGGAAGAATTGTACAATCGTTACTCCTGTTTCTTTAAAGAACCTTTTATGGAAGCCCACCAGAGCCCTATCAATGCAGATTTGCCCGTGGCTGGGGACCAAAGAGGTCTACATTGCTTATCGTCTGGCTCATTCTAGAAGAAGCCAGCCAATCCTCTTCTGCCGGGTGGAGGCAGGTGAGGGACTGTCCTGCTAGGTTTGCTAGGGGAAGTGCTGGGGGGAGAGGAAAAGGCTGGCTTGTGGAGGGTGGAGTAGCTCGCAATTTAACCTCGGGAGGTTAGAGAAGGCGTCCCTCTCAATTAGCTGTAAGAGGCCAGGCCTGGGGGAAAGAAGCATCCCTGACGCTGTTAACCTGAAGCTCACTAGTTCAAACCCACCGGCTAGTGCTGGCTCTGGTCAAGATGGACAGCCCCATGCAGCAGTTCTTCCCCAACCCCTGGGGGCTTGAGCTGGGGGCTGGCTGACTGGAAGGTTCTGGATTGGTGGGTTCCCTCCACCCAGAGAAAGGCCTGGGATTCACTTCTTTAAAAAAAAAAAAATCCCAGGCGTTAGCGGGGAGCTCCAGGAGCCTCTGAGGCACCAGGGTGATCAGGTGTGCGGGGTGGGGGTGGGTTGACTGGATGTCCTGTCCCAGCCCAAGCCCGTCCACGGGCAGGGCAGCCGCTGGGACTCGATGTGATGCGATTCCTAGAGGACAGAGCAGCGCGGCCCCGGAGGCTTTCCGTGGCTGTCACCCTCATGTCCTGTGAGACCAGGTCTCATGTCGCTTGGACGTGTGGTCAGGAGAGACCAGTAGAGGGTCAGGTAGAGGGGCAGCGCAAAGGAGGACGGCCTTTGACGAGGTGGATGGACACCGTGGCTGCAACCAGGGCCCCACATAAGAGCTGTCATGAGGATGGCTCAGGACAGGGCGGGGTCTCCGTCCGCTGGGGACAGGGGTCGCTCTGGGTTGGAACTGAGGACAACCACCCTCTGTACGGGAGGGGGCCAGTGCAGGGGGTGGGTTGCAGCTGTTTATAACCAAAGGCTTCATCCTTGTGGGTCTCCCCTCCCCGCTCCCCTGCTCCCTGGGCTCCTTTCTCCATGCTCATTGCCCTTCCCTGCAAACCCATCAAATGCCCACCTGTCCCATAGAGGCAAGACTGGACTGGCCCTTTGAGGCGACACCCTGCGGTCATACCGGTGTGTACGGAGAGTAGAGCTGAAGCTGCCGCCCAGGCCTCCTTGGGAGACCCCTCTGTCTGGGTTGGAACTTCAGTCTTTTCGCTGGTGGTAGAGCGCTTTGCCAACTGGCACTGCCCGGGGGATCCCTCTGACACAGCAACTGCCGACACTCCTGCCGGACGACGTGCTAGCATTGGCAAATGGGAGCTCTCTTCATGGCATTAACCCCAAGGGGTCGACGGTACCCCATTGTCCACTTCTGGGGAAATGAAAGGAAATTGGGTTGAGTGTGTGTGGGAGGCAGGATTTGCTCTGCTTTCTGCCCTGGGGACCCCGGTGGCGTAGTGGTTATGAGTTTGGTTGTTCATCTCAAGGTCAGTGGTTCTGAACCACTCGCTGTTTTCAGGGAGGACTTTATCCCATCAAGAGTTCATCTTGGTTTGATGGCTGTTCCTCTCGCTGCCTGGAGCCGTAGGCAATGAGATTTTGGTCCATCAAATAGCAAACCTGACTTGTCTTCACTCGGAGCACCATGGATGGGTTGGCTGTCCAGTAGTGCTTCTGATTTTTGCGGAGTCAAACAATTGTTAAAAAAAAAAAAAGTTCATCTTGGAAACCCACAGGTATGGGTCTACGCTTCTTTTACAAGGTTGCTATGAGTCAGCATTGGCTTCGTGGCTGTGGATTGGGTTTTTAGGGGCTCATTTGTCAGTCCCTTTCCTGTTGTGGGGCCCAGCCCTGCCCCATTCCTCCCCCCCCCCCCCAATCCAGGTTCTCAGCAGAAAGGACACTTGGGCCCAGGCTGCCATAAATTGAATTTAAAAACTAGTTGCTGTGGGGCCGATCCTCACCGACCCCCCCCCCCACCTGTGCCCCCGGTCAGGGTAGGATTGCACCCCATAGGACTCACAGGGGCTGATTTTGGGGGACAGTAGCTCACCAGGCCTCTCTCTGGCAGTGCTTCTGGACTCAGACTCCCACGAGCTGTCTAGTAGGTTAAAGCCTTTGGACCGCTTTCCATAGTACCCGTTGCCAGTTGTGAATTCTGATTCAGGCCAGTGACCTCCAGTTGGACCCATCAGACCTGCTCCGTAGGATTTTGGAGGGTGTAGCCTTCTGGAACTGTCTTTCCCGCCCTCTTCCTCCTCCGAGGGCCCCGCTGTGGGTTGGAAGCACCTGCCTCGTGGCCGGGAGTTGAGTGCTGAATGGATTGTGCACTCTGGGACTCCCCAGCCAAACACGAGGGCACGAAGGTGGAACAGAAGGAGAAGGTCTGCGCGGGACTCTGCAGCCACGCCTCCCATATTCTGGGAGCCCTGTGGGGACTGCATTGTGCAGTGCAGGGGATCAAATCCACCTTGGGAAGGTGCTGGTCCATGTCCTTGTTACTTCTGTTGTTGCTGAGAACAGGTGAGGGTCTTCTAAAGTATTAAAGTCCCTATGCGCCCCAGGTTGATTCCAAACAAGACGTGTCCCAGCTTGTCATCTGTGATTGTGGGGGGCTACAGACCAGCCTGTCAGCCACACACGTGCCTCAGCCTCCCTTCTTGGTGCCGTCCCTCCGACCCTTGCTCACAGGCCCCTCTGCTGCGAGTGGGGGGTCGGCCTCTGGGTTTCTGAGAGGAACTAAGGAGCCGACAGCCTCGTCTTTCTCCCGAGGAGCAGCTGGTGGCCACCAACTGGTGACCTCGAGGTTGGCAGCCCGACTCGGGTGCCTTTTAATAAAAATTAAAAAAAAGTCTAGTTCAAACCAGGGCTCTTGCGGTGGTCTGCTGGGCCAGCTCAATCCAAAGCAGAGAGGTCAGCTCAGAAGGGTCATCTTGATTGACTTATCTTAGAAGGACACAGGACAGGCACGGGGCTTACCAGGAGGAAGTTTTAAGGAACCAAAACCCGTGTTGGCGGGAAAAAGACCAGGAACGTTCGCCGTGGAATGTTTGGTGAGGACGCACCTGCTCGTCGCGGGAGGGCGGCAAAGACTCCTGGAGGGAGTCTGATCCCAGCGCCCGCCAACCCCATCTGGCCCCTTCAGGCTGCTTTTTGTTCTCCACAGTCAAAGGAACACAACTCGAGGCCCTGGGGACACCCAGAGCTGCCTTTCTGACCTGGCGTGGATCGAGCATGCTGCAGGGAGAGGTGATGGGGCGCAGCTCTGCTGTCCCAGGTGCCCGGATAAAGACTTCCCTGAGAAACCCCAGCTCCACGCTGGGATGCTCCCAGGATGAGCTGACCCAAAGCCATGAACAAAAGTGTATTTTAATTTTTCCAAAAGTTTTACTGACATATAATTCACACGTCATACAATCCAGTCAGTCACCCAAGAAGAGTTGTCCCATCACCACCACCATCAGTTTTAGAACATTTGCGTCATCTTTTTTAAAATTCACATACATATAATTTCTTTTGACAGTTTTATTGCCACTAAATCCACATATCACACAATTCAGTAGTTCAATCATGGAACGTTTGCTGCTCGCACACAATGGGGTAGCAACCATCTCCCCCCAAGCCCTCCTGCCAGACCCACAAGGGACCCCTGCTCCCGTTTCTGTTTCTAGACATTCCCTATCCTGAATTGCCTGTACAGAAAAGTATTAGGAGAAAACACAAAGAGAAAATGAACCACAGCAGTCCTGGTCTTTTCAGTCGCCTTAAGTCGGGCGTTGAATGGGGCACTGAACGGTGGTGCTGGCGGGGAATTGCAACACCACGCCCAAAGGACGATCAGACGAATCTCGGAAGGAAGGACAGCTCCTAGCGGCAAGGGTGGTGAGACTTCATCTTGGGTACTTTGGACGTGTGACCAGAAGAGGCCAGTCGAGGGAGGCGGCCATCCTGCCTGGCTCAGTAGAGGGACGATGGATCCACACTGCGGCTGCAACCATGGGCTCAGACGTGGGAACAGCTGTGAGGATATCCCAGGACCGGGCTTGCCCATCGGGTGGCTCTGAGTTGGAACTGACCCGATGACCCCTGACAACAAGAGTAGCAGTCCTGTCTGACTTACACCCCTCCCCCCAACACACACACACACACACACACACACACCCACCCATCAACACGTGCTGTGTGCCCAGCCCAGTGACACAGAGGGCAGGGTGTGAGTAGCACCACCATTCCCAAGCCCCTTTCAGGGGGGTCCCTCCCCGTGGACAAGAGCTTGCTGCCTCCTGCGGTTCCCACCTAACCTCTCGGGCTGTTGCCAAGTTGGTTCCGTAGAAATCGGTCTGGAGAGCCCCCTGCTCCAGGTGGAAGCCCATCCAGCTTCTGGATTGCACGTGTGTGGTTGGCTTTTGGCTGTTCTCCGGCTGATGGACACACCCAAGTCCGAGTCCTGAGGCCGGGGTGAGTCTGCCCGGCGGGGCCCCCCCCCCCCCCCCTCCATACTGGGTGTGCTCCTGAGGTCTTCTGGTGGAAAGAGGAAGCAGAAGGCGGTAGTGCCTCCCAGCTGGTGTTACGTAAGCTCTGCTCCTCGTGGCAGAGGAGACTGCTACCTTCAGGTGACGTTGGTCTGACCCCGTGTGGCAGGGTCCAGCTGAGGCTGCACTGGCAGAGAGACCACCCCCCCTCGTGGCTGGGAGCCATGCGTCTCATCATTCTGCCACCAGGGCCCCTGTCAGGTGAGATCGGGTGGACCTTGGAGGCACTGCTGGCTCGGTTCCCACCCTGCAATACAGCGGACGTGGCAGTCCAAGTGCGCTTCTCTGTGTCACCATGCGGAGGGAAGCAGGATCAAGATTCGGCTGTCTGCTCCCGGGAAGATTGATGGCCTTGGGGACCCACGGGCAGTTCCACTCTTCCCTGCAGGGTAGTGGGGGCATGGGTGCAGATAAACGTGACCAGGACCCTAGACGCTCCTCTCACCACTGCCATCGGGTGACTGACGTACAGCGACCCTGTGGGACAGGGAGGGACTGCCCCCGTTGGGCCATCGGCCTTGATGGGAGCAGCCAGCCGCCTCTTCCCATGGAACGGCTGCAGCTGGGACTGCTGGCCTTGGGGGAGCAGCCTGATGCTGAAGGCACTGAGCCACCCGGGCGAGTGGGGACCAGAGGGAAGTGAGCGTAGGCCGCGGGAAAGAGGGCCTCTAGGGCAGCAGTTCTCAACCTCTGGGTCTCGACCCCTTTGGGGGTAGAATGACCATTTCACAGGGGTCGCCTGATTGATAACAGCAAAATTACAGTGATGAAATAGCAATGAAAATAGTTTTATGATTCCACAACATGAGGAACGGTGTGAACGGGTCACGGCATTAGGAAGGTTGAGAACCACTGCTCTAGGGCCTGGCTCCAGGCCTGGGATGGCCGGGCTGCCTGCACCGCTTTGCAGGGATCATGAGGTCTCCTATAAGGAGTCACAGTCAGCATGGACTCGATGGCAACGAGTTTGGTTCTGAGCTCAGGCTGGGGGGGTGTGAGGGATGGGGAATCCCCCCTGAAGGCTGGCCGGAGGACCCCAAGTGTGACCATCAGGCCTCTAGACTCCCAAGGCCTACATCCTTGTTAGGCCTTGCTCAGTGCCCAGGGCTTGGTGTGTCACAGTGGGGGCTCAGCAAACAGCCTCTGGAATCAAGGGTGGAAGGTCAGCCCCCCTTCAATCCAGTGGGGCCTGGTTGATGGCCTGCGGGGTGCTTGGCTGGGGGGCGGGCAGGCACTCACCTTCCTTTAATCTTCCCTCCATTATCTGCACCTTGGTTAACCAACATCACTGTCTGCCTTTGAAACGTTTTCATCACCCCCCACTCCCCAGTGGAAATTTGCTGACTCTCAGGCTCCCTCCCTTCCCTGTAAACCAAAAAACTCCCCACCATCCAGGCAGTACTGACTCATAGCAACCCAGTAGGACAGGGTAGAATTGTCCCTGTGTGTTTCCAAGACTAACTTTCCTGGAGGAGAAAACCTTATCTTTCTCCATAGCGACCGTATGGGACGGGGTTGAACTGCCCCTGGGAGTTTTTGAGACTGTAACTTTGTAAGGGTGTAGAAAGCTCCATCTTTCTCCCAAAGAGCAGCTGGTGGTTTCAAACTGCTGACCTTGCAGTTAGCAGCCTAATACGTGACCACTGTGCCACCACGGCTCCTAGCAACCCGGCGGGACAGAGTTAATCTTCAGGCTGTTAATCTTTCCGGGAGCAGCCAGCCTTCTCTTTCTCCCCCAGAGCAGCCGGTGGGCTTGAACTGCTGACCCTGTGGGTAGCATCTCAGCTTGTGCCTGTGCTGCATCACTGGGGCTCCCCCCACCTCGCCCGCTCCTGGAAACCACCCGTCTACTAGGGTCTCTGTGCGCTCAAGCTCCATCTTCTGCCGAAGTGGGATGCTAGGACACTGGCTGGACCCTGGACCAGCCGTCTGTCTGTTGGTCCTCAGCGTGGTGTTTGCAAAGTTCGTTTGGGGCGTGGCTTAAGCCGGGCCCTGTGTCCTTTTACAGCTGAGTATTACTTGGTAGCATGCCGCTGTGTGAGTGGGTCACGTGATGCTCTACACGAGCCCTGGTAGTGCTGGGCTGCTAACCACAAGGTCAGCAGTTTGGACCTACCAGCTGCTCTTAGAAAGCCGGGCCTTTCTATTCCCTTAGAGTGTCTGTCTCAGAAACTCACCGGGGCAGTTCGGCCCTGTCCCGTGGACTCGGTGGCAGTGAGCTTGTTCCAGGGTTGCTAGGAGTCGATGCCGGCTCACAGGGACCTTACGGGACAGAGTGGGTGACCGAGCCTGCAACTGTTTATGGGAGTAGCAAGTCCCACCTTTCTTCTGCGGAGCGGCTGGTGGTTTCAAACTGCTGACCTTTCTGATCGCCCAGTGGCTCCAGTCACCACCACATGGTAATTCTGTTGAACTTGACCCAGCCCCTGGGCAGTGAACCCCCTGGGTGGGTTAACCCATCCAGAGGAAAGGCCGGTGACCTGGTTCTAAAACATCCTGGGCTTGAGCTCCACTGAGCACAGTTCAGCTTTGCACACGGTTGCCACGCGTCGCACCGACTCCCTGGTGCGTGGCCTGTTTCACATGTTGGGGACCAGCGATGCCGTTTTCCTCGGCAGCCTGTGTGGTCCGTTAGTCCTCAGGTGGTACTCTCGTGTGACAAGTGGGAGCCCTGGAGGAGGGGAGAGGCTGGCAGTACCCCTGCACACAGGTCCCTTTGGGGGATGGGCATGGGTATTAATGACACCAGGGAGCTAATGAAGCTGCTTGCCAGTCACCACAGCTGTTGGGCTGTGGGGACCCAGAGGTGGCAGGACACCTCCGAAGTGACAGGTGGGGACAGGTCATTGATAGCCAAGGACTGCACCACGCCCCCCTCCCTCCCCCGTGAGCAATGGGGAGTTTACCCTCTGCTTGTTAGGTGGTTCGAGAGCTGAGGACAGGATGTCGTTCCTGCAGTTCCGGCTGTCTCCTAGCAGATGGCCAGGTAGGGGGCGTGTCCATTTGACAGAGGAGCAAACTGAAGCCCCAGGATCGAGGCAAGGAGAGCCAGGGTCCTGTGTTGGCATCTAGCTCTCTTGGCCCAACCCAGCCTGAGTGGCGCTTGGGCACAGTTGGGCGCTGCGGCGGGCAGGTGGGTGGTAGCCGTTGGTGGCATCCGGGCCCTGGCAGGCCCTGGGGTTGCCGGGAGGGTTTTATAAGCTCAGGCAGGGCAGGCTGGGGCCACTGGGCTTCCGCAAGACCGTGGGCAGGAAGAGCTGGCGCTGATGTAAGCCCTTGCGCAAACCTCCGGGCTGCCGGCTTCCGGAGCCCGCCACCCGCCGCCCGCCCAGGAGGAAGCAGGCCTGGCAGACCCTGCCGTCCCAGCTGGGCCGCATGGGTACATGGACTGGCTACCA